CCCACCCGCTCCTTGAATTATTTGAATTTTATATATATTTATACACACACACAAAATTATGATACTTATAAGATAACTTGAAATGATAATAAAAAAAAATCGGCAACTTTATATCAGCGTAATAAAAATTAAGTGTGCTATCAATATTTTAGTATATTCAACTATCTTTATTATTTGAGTCCAGTAATTATCAGTATCCAGAGATATATCTGTTCTATACTCTGACAGCATATATGCTAATAAAATCTGCATAAATATAGCTCTGGCAATTTAGTAATTTTTCCGAGTATAACAGGTGTTCCTCCAAATGTGAAGTGTACTCCACATTTCATCCACAGATTTTTCTACCAATTTTTAAACATTACAAGAATCCGATCATGACATAACTCAAAATTTGATTGTCAAAACAATCAATCTCAGAACTGAAAAATTACGGGAAAAAAAATGATATCTCGCAAAAAAGAAGACGAATCTAAATTCGCGCATATATGAGCAGTATTATAAAAGTTTTGTTAAATTTACTGTAACGATTTCTGGAATTGAAGAATTTTTCTCTTTCTTTTATTTTTCTTTCTTTCTCAAACATAAATTGTGCAGCTATAAATAAACAAAAGTAGGTCAGTATAGCTTAAAGTTAATTAAAAATCAATTAAAGACATAAATCTAAAGTTAATTAAAAATTAATTGAAGATCTAACAATCTCTTTCACACGTTCCTATCAAACCTATTGTCTCTACCAACCTAAAACACCTGCTGATGGAGATCCATGACCTTTCATTGGTCATTTTCGCGATGCGCAGGAGCTTCGGCCCGCAAATCCTGACGAATATATTGGTGCTCATCGTGATGGAATTTCGTCGTCGAGGTGAGGATACGCGAAAGAAATCTCGATCGGTCTTCAAGAGGATTGCGCGTTTTAAGAGAAGAGCGCACGAATATCGGGGAGAAAAAGAAGCCGCAAAAAAAGAAAGAAGAAAACCAGGACAAAACCGATGAGAGAGCACGAGGGAGCAACGCACCCTGAAAACTGGTCGACAAGGAACGAGAGTGGTACCATTTATATGGGCGCCCCTTCCCTAACGCTACCTTGGGCACCTGAGGATGCCCAACGAGTTTAACTTGTGTTTCGTTTTTCAAGCATTTTCGCACGGGGCAAAAAATATTGCGGTTGCGATATAAACAAACTACTCTCCTTGCTATCTGATTGAACGACAGGTCAATTTCACCGCGGATTATATGATGTCACTCGTCGCGTCGAAATTCAGCGTGTGATTTAATTTTTAATTAACTTTTTTCATCTTCATTATCAATATGATTTCTTTGCAATTGTTGTTGGGATTGTATGCGAAATTGCATGTTCCGCAATTGGCGCGAGTAATTTCGCAATTAGCGCGATGTTAATTCATCCCGCTGAGAAATATCATCCAGGACGACGAGAGACGGCTCTTCTATTATAGCGTTAATATTATTTTTATTTTTATTCTTCTTGGAGAGAAATGGTAGATAGTGAATTAGAAGCTGCAAATTTTGTCCAATCACGATTTAATGCTCAATATCATAATATTATTAATTATTAACATTATTGTTAATTAATTATTGACATAATTAATTATCATTATTATTAATTTCATCGTGAGTTTCTGTCCCGTATTATTCTTTATACTCTCCCTCTCTCTCTTGCACTATTATTCAGAAAATATATAAATTTTAATAATTTTTTTAGAAAATTTTATAGATATCTAATAACTTCTCTTAAATAGTATTCATATCGTAAAATACGCGTGTGTCGAATATTCTAATGTTCTTTTTTTATTTTCATTTAATTGTGAGATTAATATATAACTATTTCAAGATCTCTTTCCTGATGTAGGTTGTAAAAAATATGATATAAAAAAAATGTTGTATATAATGTAAACAATATCTAGATTTGCTTGCTGGTTAAATCAAGCAAAATTTGCTTCGCAGTCAAAGTTAAAATAAATAAATGAAACGAGTTAAAAATTGTCGAGACGTTTTGTAGCTGGAACATCAATTGATCCAACCACTATTGGTATGCAGACGTAAATAAAAGAAGAGAAGCAAAATGTGTCGCGGTCGATGCTCGTTTATTGAATAAAAAATGCTAAAGCGGGTAGTGGAACATTCAAAAGAGTGATTGTAGATCCAAGTAGTTAATTATCGTGAGAATCTCGTGCCAAGACAGCGAAAATGTGGTCAATGATCTCCGAAAGACTATAAGTCAATGTTATACTTGGACCATTCACAAATTGAACGTTTTCACATTATGTATTTAACGTTAAATACGTAGAAAAGACTTTCGATGAATTTAACTTCTCTTAAATGTAAAGAGATCTTCTTTGGTGTGAATATAAAAGATCAATTGTCAGATATAATTTATGATTAATATACAGGGTGTCCTCAATTTAAATGTCAAAACTTTAGGAGCGTGTAGGGGACCGATAAACTAAGACAAAAAGTTCTTTAGAAATTTACTCGTTTTTGCTTCGTTTTGAAGAAAATCGCAGAAAATGAAACAAATAATTTTCATCAAAAAACTTGCAGAATATAAAAAATAATAAAAATTGTAGAATATGGAATTAAGAAAAGAGAGCGAGTTAAAATCCTCCTGAGGTAAAATTAGATTAGAAACAAAATTTCGCGTTGTCGCGTATTTATCTACAATCCTCTAATTTTACCTCAGGAGGATTTTAACTCACTCTCTTTTCTTAATTCCATGTTCACAATTTTTATTTTATAATACTTTTTGATAAATCTAATAATTTTAGTGTTGTTTTAAGTTTTTTGGTGAAAATTATTTGTTTCATTTTTTACGATTTTTTTCAAAACGAAGCAAAAACGAGCAAATCTCTAAAGGACTTTTTATCTTAGTTTATCGGTCCCCTACACGCTCCTAAAATTTTAACATTTAAATTGGGGACACCTTGTATATATATAATAATTAATAATATTGTCTTTCGTATATACATAATACATGACACGCGACAATTAATCCATCTCGAAATTCAGGAAGAAGATTACTTATATATGTTAACCCGAGTAAATAATCTGTCGCCGGCTGTGTGAAGTTAGTTAAAATATTTGACCATCAAGGATCGGGACGTCATTTTTGCAGCTGCAATCGTCTTTCGCCTGTGACTCGCAGCTTGAATCTGAATACACGCGATGTGTAAATATGTGTGATATTACTCGCAGTATTTATTTCCGGAAACTGTGTAATTGTTTCGCATTTCCACGCTCTCTGTAGGATACATGTTTTGTACATATTTACACATTTACATTGTAATTACTCACCGCGCGAGGGCGGGAGCCGTCGGGGGACGGGGGTCTTTAAACATTAAAAGAATATTTGCCGGGCAAATGCTGATAATATACAGGGTGTCCCCAATTTAAATGTCAAAACTTTAGGAGCGTGTAGGGGACCGATAAACTAAGACAAAAAGTCCTTTAGAGATTTGCTCGTTTTTGCTTCGTTTTGAAGAAAATCGCAAGAAATGAAACAAATAATTTTCACCAAAAAACTTAAAACAACATTAAAATTATTAGATTTATCAAAAAGTATTACAAAATAAAAATTGTAGAATATGGAATTAAGAAAAGAGAGTGAGTTAAAATCCTCTTGAGGTAAAATTAGATTAGAAACCAAATTTCGCGTTGTCGCGTATTTATCTACAATCCTCTAATTTTACCTCAGGAGGATTTTAACTCACTCTCTTTTCTTAATTCCATGTTCTACAATTTTTATTTTATAATACTTTTTGATAAATCTAATAATTTTAGTGTTGTTTTAAGTTTTTTGGTAAAAATTAAATTTTTCATTTTTTGCGATTTTCTTCAAAACGAAGCAAAAACGAGCAAATCTCTAAAGGACTTTTTGTCTTAGTTTATCGGTCCCCTACACGCTCCTAAAGTTTTGACATTTAAATTGGGGACACTCTGTATATATTAATCATAAATTGTAATATATTATAATATACTTATACTTATAGCATGGAAAAGGGGATAGAAGAGATTGAAAATAATCAAATAAGAGCTATAATAATTATAAAGCTATAGTAATTAAAATAATTAATATAAGAATAAAAAGAAAAATTATATTATTACTTAATAATGGAATATTGTAGCAATAATAATAGAGTTGTGTTGTAGGGCCATAACGTATTTAATTAAAGAATTAGAGTTACGACGATTACACTTTAACACGCTCATAACAAGCGCAAATTAACAGATACGTATTTGAGCAAACTCGAGCGTAACTATGCATTTTGCGTTCACGTAATCGCAATTCGTTTATTCATTTCATAGACGATATTTATGCACAATTATCACGTACTTGAAAATGCAATGTCAATATGTATGCACGAGAAGTAGTCGCGCGTTAATTGATTATGTCGCGCCGATATTGTAGAAGAAAAATCAGAGCGAGTCAACAAATTAAAAAATTCAATAGTAAGTTCCAATGTAAAGTGTATGATTGATTCAGCAAACGTTATACGCGATCAGTTTTCACACGTGAATCTTTGTCGGATATACGAATATATTTTCTTAAAAAAATAATGCTTTTAATTATTCAACTGCAATATAATAAGTTTCTTAACACAATGTTTTAACGTATACTTGTTCTTTTATTTGAAGATTAAATTCATATCTCACATTGATTATTATGAGACACGAAACCCCGCGCGTGACTAACAAACGTCACTGAAGAGATACATTGCTGCAATCAGTGGATTGTTCAAGCAACCATTACGTCAATACGATTAATTAATCTGTGAACTCGTGTCGGTGACATTATACGATGTCTCGTTTGTAATAAAAATCACTTGATTCTACAACGTGCTGTGTTGATTGTTATATTAAATGACATAATTGATCTAATAACATTTTTATATATTTAACATGTATTAATAAATGTTTCTTAATGTGTATCAATTTGTAGATTTAAATTAAGTATCGCACTCGGTTTTAATCCTTCGACGCGATTGCAAAATCATGTATCATTGACCTCGTTATCGCTCTCTTCCATAGATAAGTTCGAGATCTCATCTTACGAGACAACTCGTGACGTCTGAATGACGATATTTAAGAAATTCGATTTCATGAAGAATCGGTAAATGAATCATATTCGCGAAGTCTAGAAAAGTAAAATGAGAGAAATCATTAGAAATTTATTAATTTTTCATTGACAAGAATATTTACAGCTTTCTCATCTAACAAGAATTCAGAATCCTTTATAAAGACTCCATAAAATTTTTTTTTGCATAAAATAAAGAATTAATAAATGCACTTAATAATAGAAGATTATTTATTTTAAAAATTGCAACTGCACCTTACATATCGCGCGTAATAATAATAATATAAGACATAAGAAAAGATAGAATTTATAATATATCACACATTTTACCTTACGTAAAAAAAATTTCCTATCTGTTAACGTTCCCAAGATATAATCTGTCCCAGTTTTTTGTAGGATACCCTATATATAGCAATACCAATTAGCACATTGGAAGAATCCCGCTTCTAAATGTACATTTTTGATCGAGATAAATAAATTATTTAAATTCTGTCAAAACAGCGACCTATGTATAGTTGTGATAAATTTACCATGTGTCAAATCGCTAAAGTTAAAAATTAGCACAAATCGATCGAAGAGAAACAAAGTATCCACTACAAAGAAAATAACCATCCGCTCTCATCGAATCCAGCCTTTTAGCCGATAAAAATACTTGTCCGCTACCTTAGACAGCGATCGATCTTCTTATCCCCACATTACGTATGTTTGCTATCATTATACCTATCGAATGTTAATCTAGATTGTTCTTTCTGCAATCTTTGTTTAACAAAGACCCTTTCACTGCTGCATTTATATGAAAAAAAAATTATATTAATAAAATACAATATTTGTCAAGAGAATGAACGTCTTTAAGAAAATATTGGATTAAAATTTAGATATAAATGTCTTGAAAATTCTTCTCCCGTATGTATATAGAGATCTCCCGTTTTTTAATGTTTTCA